CCAATTGAACCCGACTGCTTGGGTGGAAATAATCATCACCAGCTTCATTTTCACAGAGAGATGCTGCAAATTAGTAACAGTTGCTTCCAGCACACAACTTGACACTTCAGTCTTGCTTTTCTGGTGTTGTTTTTTTTTTTTTCTTTTCGCACACGGGCCCCGTCCCCATCTCTACGTTGCAGCTTTTATAATACCTCCTCGGGCCAGGTTGACTTTGTCACCTCATTCCATGTCTGCACAGTTTTATACAGAGCAGCATCAAAGAGAAAAAAGATAGACGAACCCGGACTTGAACAGGCACTGTAAAAAGAGGCTGTTGAAGCAAGGCCAGCAGCCATCAGGTTGTCTTGAATTGTGTGAAAAAAAACAAACAAAAAACAAGTTTAATTGTTGCCAGTACGTTCCTCTCATTTAGTGGCAGGATGGATTTATAGAGAAGCTTTCATATTTCATTTAAAAGGAGAGACAAATCCTTGGTGTCCTCATGGTGCCACATCACATCTAGTAAAATGATTGAGCAACAGTCTGCTAATTCGTAACAGACTATCAGTCACCCGTTCTCCTCGCTTTGTCTTTGTCTCTTCATGAGTCTCCCTGAAATGTGGACAGCGCCATCCCACATCCATCCCCTCTTCTCTCTCAGCGTAGCGCCATCCCGGCATCCATGCCTCCGCTAGCCAGCTAATAAAAGTCAGCCTGTGTCTTAACCCATTAGCGCTGATTTATTTGATCAGATTCGTTTTATTTCCTCAGCCCAAACCCCATGGCACTCTCCTCCCACCAGTGATTAAAGGCAGTAAATCAGGGGCAGGTCCTGTGTAGTGTTTACTCGGAGAGCCAGGCAGCTGCAAGCTGTTTGAGGCCCTTGTTTCTCCCTCTGTTTACTTCGGTTCCCATGGTAACTGCACCACCGTCTCCCAAGCGGCTGGAACTTGGCCCTGGGATGTTTTGGTTACGTTCGAAAGTTTTTAGCTGCTGTGTCTACCCAGGGCTCAGTGACTTCACCCCGGCACGGGGTGAGTGCATCAATGCTGGATGTTGGAGGGAAAGAGCGAACGGAGAGGGGTGGGGTGTTAAGGCGAGAGGAGTCGAGGAGGGAGGGACCAAATCTTGGGGTAGGCAGGCACAGGGTGGGGGGAGGGCGAAAAAGGCAAAAGCATGACATCATTGCTGGAGTCGACTTAGAGAGGGAAGGATATGAGTCAGTGGACCTGTGCCTTGCCCTGTCTTTCTCTCCCCCTCTCTCTCTTTTTTGGAGTGCATCCAAGGACCTTGTGTCGAAGTCTATAGTACTCTAGTTGGAGCTGGGATTGTGCACATACATTGTGTATATACCAGTGTCCACTAACAGGCTCATCTGGACGGTCTTGAGCTGAGATGGACCACAAGAAACCAGAGACAATATACTTTTTGTAGCTGTAAAGACGCATTGTCTATATTAACTTTTTTTTTTCGAAAATAATGTCATACACGGTAAAAGTATCTATATGGCCTCACAGTAGAATATTACTAAAATGTTATTTGTGTGTGCATGCGTGCGTGTGTGTGCGTGTGTGTGTGTTGATAATAGCCTGGGCTGTGGGCCCCTGGGGAGAGCAGGTAGACACTCCACAGTCCTGACCTCGCACTCTCACATTACTGAGTGCTGGGCTCTCACAGCAGCTCTTTTCCGTCCCAATCCCCACCCCAGAACCACAAAGCCTCCACCCACCATCCACCTTTAGTCCGCCATGACATCACTGCTAGACCTTCTTGCACGGATCCTCTCTTAATCCCGTTGGCACGAGGGTTAACTCCCCTTTAATTTGACCTAAAACCTGTACAACTCAATGAAAAAGTTTTTTTGTTTGTTTGTTTGTTTGTTTCTGAAAGGGGAAATAAACATAAACAACTGAAATAATGGTGGTTGCCCAACTGCAAAAACCAGCATTTGACCAGGGGTGTGTAGACATTTAATATTCACTGTATATGTACACAGTATTTAATCACAAACATTTTACTTAGATTCTCTTTTAAAGTGGAACCTTGTAAGATGAATTAATATTACCCCAAAACATAAAATGATAAAAGAAAAAAGAAAAAACAAAAAGGTGGTCAACTTTACTTTACTTACTTTACTTGTTTATTTTACTGCCAATTACCGACTTCATTTCATTGAATTTGATTTCCTTTAATGTTATTTTCTTTTATAGAGCACCAAAACAAACAACCATTAAGGCCTACGGCAGCATTTTTAAAGGAAAATAACCCAATTGATTGATTATAGTGCAATTGTACATTCTTTCAGTTTCATTTCATATCAGAGTTGAATTAAAATTTGACTCAGTGGAAACAAAAGACTTTCTTTCACATGAATAAACATTGCACTTTTCCTTTTAATACTGACCATATTTTATTTGAGACGTTGTTGTTGTTTTAAAGGCACGCATGACAAGAAACGGTTCGAAATGTTTGAAAGTCCAACAAAACAATTGCAAAATCAACAGTTTATTTCTGCCGCCGCCTTGTTTTTCCATGCTCTTGACAGCTGGCGGAGGGGAACCGCGTCCAAGCAGTGCGCCGCCACACTACGTACCTCATTGTATTTCATGACTTTTCCCATGTGGAAATGTTTGGCTACGTGAGCGCTGCTCAGGTGTCATACGTGCCGTTAAATGAGTGTGATTGTGATAAATTGTTATGTTAGACTGAAATGACACGCAGTCGGGATGGTAATAGTGGCGTGTGTACGGAGCAATCCAAAATGTCTGCAGGCTAAATGCACATATTTAGGTTTGGAAAAATATGGGTATTTATTCAGGTGTGGGACCATTTTCTCTGCCGTTGCAACCCCCCCCCCCCCACACACACACACATGATGATCACTCTTGCACACGACCTTGCCAATATAATAATCCACCCTATGATGTGGTCAATTGATTACATTAACCTGCTGAACACAGTTAACTTAAATGCTCCTTGTTTGCACTCATTCGCAAATGCCTCTGGATATTGAGCTGAGCTTTATTGATGAGCGAGAGGTAGAATTCATCCCGATGACACTGATGACTAGAGTTATTGATTGCTTAAATATAGGTACTATTTCAAGAATTACAGTCGTGAAAGCTGCTCTCACAAGCAATGCATTGTGGCTCTCTAAAGGATGCCACTGCGTTTCGATTTCTAGTACAGTACAGTGAAACTCCTCTACAACGAAATCATGTTTGCAGCAAGAAATTTTTCACAACAGGGGGTTTTTCACTGTAGCAAATTTGATTTGTGCATAAGCATGAGCATACACTTATTAAAAAGGGAAATTGCGAAATTTACAATCAGCATTCACTTTCACTTACATCAATTTCTTGGATAATGTCTTTTATTTTGTTTCCTCTGTCTTTCATTTTGATCACCTTTACCCTCTCTTCCAGCGTCAGCGCTCTTCTTGTCTTAGCTGCTTGACATCCAAAGGTCCGTTTTGTAGCAATTTTAGCAATGCAACGTTCTTGCTGCATCTGAAACTAACAATAACAAATACTTCCTGGACTACTGCACACGTGTGAACCAGTGTGGTGGTTGCTGTTGCCGTTTCCGAACGAAGCAGTAGAGGTCGCTGTTGGAATAGACTTCTCTGTAGTGAATCTCGTCGCGAGGCAATAGCAGAGAAAAATATTTTGTATAACGCAACAGGGTTTTTTTTTTCGTTGTATGGGGGGCAGGAGAGTGGGAATGGTGTTAATGCATGAACATTTTTTCACACTAGGGGGTATTTTCGCCCCATATAGGTTTCGTTGTAGAGGAGTTTCACTGTACGAATGTTTGGATGGCTCCAAACCCGAGCCGGCTACCGTGATAGGAAACCTGTCCATTGTTGAAGCGGAGCCAGAGAGCTCCTCTATTCAAAAAGGTCCACTGTGTTGTTTGTGAGAATGTTCCCACAAGCCTTCCTGTTTGTGAATGGGAATCGCATCAGCGTAATCTCTTCCTTCACTGTGATAAATGCTTTGACTTTATCATCTGTCATTGAACATGAAGTGTGGATGTTTAAAGCACATCCGTAATCCATCCCCTGATACCTCAACTTTTTGCAGCCCGACTTTCCTATCGTGACATAGCACGTCCAAAACAGGGACTCGCTGGAGAAAAGCTTGCTTTGAAAAATGATTAATATAAGAGCAATTACTCAAAGAGGGAAGTATGATACTCTGTGGGTTATAACCGCACTTCTTTAACAGCTTTATGCAGAAGTTTCAGAAGCGTTCCATAATAATGTGACAAATGTTTTGGAAAATTCCTTTGCGCTCGGTTATAAATTATTTCTTCTTTCGGGGTTTTGAATTGTATGAGATGAAGTGGGCTTGTGTGCTTTCTTTAAGTTTTGAAAAAGCCATTTGTCCGGAGTGCGACCGTCACCACTTTTTAAAACTAGCAGGCTGCATCGACCCTTATTCTTGAGGAATGTGACAATCAATAACTCTTTGGCAGCCTCACTTTGGAGCATGCAGTAGTTAAAAAGGTCACAAAGCTATCAAGCACTTTGACTAAAATGATTACCCCATATTCCAGGCATTTAATCTTAACCTGTCATTGTAGACTTTGTTTTTTTCACTTTGAAACCACTCCTAAACATTGTTATTGTTTTTTTCTGTATACTATCCTTTATGGACGATATTTCTGAGTGTCACTGTGCTGTGTGACTTTCATGCATATGGCCAAACCCTCTCAGCACTCTACACCAAAAAAAAAAAAAAAAAAGGAAGGCCAGCCCTGCTTCAGCTCTCTATGTGGAAAACGAAACTGATTGTCATAAAATCATAAAAACTTGATCCGTTAGGGCATATTATTTTCATAACCTTAACAACAATAAAAAAAGAAGCCCTTTACAAGTAAGTTTCCCAAGAATAATTACAGTTGTTATGCAATGGCATATTGAGCGTTCACTTTGAATGTTTGATTTATTGATCTGACCTGGTAGGCTTTCATTTACTCCCCTGACACTTACAGTACTTTGTGTGTCCTCTCAGGCCCGTCCCTGGCTCTCTGTCCTCACTGTTGCACCTACGAAACAGACAGAGACAGCCTCTGCCAGCCTCCATGGCTGGAACACTGCCAGACCCCACCATGCCTGGCTCCTCTGCTGTGTTGATGCCCGTGAGTACACAATGGAGCACAGAGCGCACACACTCAGTCCATCGTATACACACACACACACACACACACACACACACACGGACCACACTAGTTCACTCACATATGGTAGGTTTACACACTGCGCTGTGCGGAGTCATGGCTATGTCCGCACTCTGTCACCATTAAACTGACCAAGCCTAAGTTATCGAGAAATTCGGTTCCTGTAGAACAGAGGAAATCTATATCTGAGTGGGGGATATAGATTTGATTGAAATGGTGCCAAAATAACATAGGGTCAACTAATCCTACTATGTCCATGTTTCTATATGTCCATGTTTCTATCTATCTATCTATCTATCTATCTATCTATCTATCTATCTATCTATCTATCTATCTATCTCAATGGAGAGTTAGATAGGGACAGAAAACAAGATAGTTGAGCAGCCGCGGCAGAGAAAAGAGAACAATGGGAACAACAACAGCCGTATTAAGAACAGTAATAGTCCCAGTAATAGTCCCGAACTGAATCGCGCACGTTGCTACGTTAGCGATTCCGTTAGACAAAATGGAACGTAACTAAAATAAAGTTACACATTATGTTCTTGATTGCCATACAAGCGTAACCCCCCCCAAAAAAAAACCTCTTCAACGCTTTTCATGTAACTCTTAAAAGAGTAAAACGTGTACTGACCCTAAAGTGTGACAACACCGAGAAAGGATTACCAAGTGTGACTTTTCGCATAAGCACGAATCACTTTTCTGAATACCCTCACTTCCACGTCTTCAGTTTGAATTGTTGTACTCCACAAATATTGTACTGAGCAGCCAAAACAGAGACCTCTATTCCACGAGTACCATTTCCAGTTCTGTGGTCATAATCACATATTTCCTCTTTGCTGACATTGATACACCTCCGTAGCCTCATTTTAAAAAGACACACGTGTGCACACACTTACACACGCAGCGATATAAAATATGATCTGCTATACTGATCTACTAAACTGCGGGAACAGCATTTGGTTGGAGTTACACGGTGGCTCGTGATTCCATAACCATGATTACTACTTCCACAGCTCATGTCGAACATGGCCCAGTTGTCATCGCTTATCATACCATCTGCAGTCAGGGTTTCATGAAAACAAATGCAAACATATACCAACGTTGCCCAACACACTCATAATACAAGCGGGAGCTAATTTAGTAAAAATGTTTAGAATTTGTTACCGCCCGAAGACAGCTGTGATAGGCTCCAGCACGGCCACGACACTTGTGAGGATAAGCGGATTAGAAAATGGATGGAGACCCCTTCGAACACATTTGGGAAAGACAAAGACTGAGATTGAGAGTTTGACTTTAGAGCCAGACCCCCCCCCCCACCCCCTGGATAAAAAAGAAAAAAAATACCCCCCTCAATTCCAACTCCTTGTTGAAAGAGGGGAAGTTGTGACAGCTGTAAAGGGGAGACCAACTCCATATTTTCTTTCGTTGTCACTTCCTGTCTGTCCTAGTGTCCCAATACTTTTATCCATTTGTTGCATGTTCACATTGTAACATAAGACAGCTCATGTTTATGGCACGAGAGAGGAAAAAAAAGAAGCTCTCATGTTTATTAAATTAAGAGTTAAGCCATTTTTGGGAAGATTGACGGTTCAGGGGTGCAGGTTAGGGTGATATTTTTACACAAAACACACTTAGTGTAATTAAGGCTGTGTGTCAGGTTGGAGTCCACCATTCTCTGTAGCTGAAGGAGGGGGAGGGGTGGGGATCCTGTATGGTGGGGGGTTGCTTTTCCCCTCGGAGGCCACCGCACCACTAACACCACCACCCAAAGTTAGCAGCTGTGAAGTTGCAGCAGCTCGCGTATGCACATTTATGCATGCACGCACTCACACAAAGGCACCTTCTTTCCTGTATGTACACTCACTGGTCTCAGCCCTGTTTCTTGCTCAGCTGATTCCCACGCACGACCAGGCTGACCGGCACCACTCAGTGGCAGGTGATTCTCATGTATGCGTTCAGTGGTACCTCTATTTACGAAATTAATTGGTTCTGGAAAACATTTCTTCACTAGAAAATTTTGTAAGCAGGGACGCATTTTCCATGTAAATGCCCTGATTCGTTCCAAGCCCCCACAAAATTCAGACATAAAGGTTTCCTAATGCATATAAATGCATCAAAATATGTTACAAATAATGTTACAATTAGATTATTACACAATAAATGAGAGTTGTGCATAATTAACAAAAACAAAGAATAAAAATGATGGTCATTTAACGTTTAACTGCGTCCTCATCGCTTTTTTACCCTCTTTAGTTCGTGTTCTCTCTCAGAAGTGGTTTTTGCCTGTTGTTTTGGAAAGAACTGGGCAAAGGACATTTGCTTTTGTCGGCTTTTAACAATCCTTTGAAAATGTCCAAGGCAAACATCAGCATCGTGAGCGATCGCCCAACTGGTGAACACTTTTTCTGGGTGATTCACGTTTACGTAAAACTATCGGAACACCTGAGGGGCGAATGACGAGTACGCTGCATAGACACATATCTATCTATCTACACACAAAGTTACATTCGGTCGAGGTTCCTCTTAGCCAACTGGATGCCAGGATGAGGCTCCGTAATAGCCAATGGCAGAGCAGCTATAAGTATGTTGCGTTCAGGAAACTCAGAGCTGCGAGTAGCATCCCACACTGTATTTTTACCTTTCGTATATTGAAATTTCTTTCGTAACAAGAACCAATATTTTCCTGTTGAGGCATTTCGGTACTTGAAAATTTCGTCCGAAGAGACGTTCTTAAGTAGAGGGACCACTGTATGGCTAACTCACATCAATGCAATTTCTCAACACATCCTGCAACAAGAGCCGCCCCAAGGTTTGGTGCGTGACTGCGACAGACTCGCCACACAACTATCAGTACACAGGCCCCATGTTTTACCAGCTTCCTGTGTTAAGTCTCTCCATACATGCTTCCTGTTTTGGGTCAGCTCCTGTTATCGTCACACAAAAGCTGATAGCCTGTCATGCGAAATCCCACTCTCGTTGTCTCTCATCTCATCCTTATCTCTCACCTTTTTGTTTTTTCTTTTTCGGGTCTCGTTTTGGCGAAACATTCCGGATTTATTGACTCACTTTTGCCGTTGTGTTGTCAGATGGAGAGACAAATGTCTATGGGTGCCAACATGATGGCTATGCAAGGTCCCGCCCACAGCAGCCCCTGCTCCTCCGCGCACATTCCCTCCATGCACTCAGAGGCCAAACTGGTGAGTACCGTATACGCATGCATACACATTTATGAGCGCATACACTTAAACGTGTGGCAGCTTTCTTTTCCACTGGGCTCTGCCAAGCACGGCCCCACTCTCTTAGGCCTGTGTGGATTTCATCATTTGGTGTGTAATCAAAGCTGCGTCTCAACCTGCCAGCGCAGCGCTCGGTGCCGGAATAAAAGGCTCTTTATGCAATTGTGGCACAGCTGCCCATTCTCCTGCCTGATGTATATCTTAATGTACAGAACATGTTCTGTGGCTCCTGCAACTTGTTCGCGCTTCTTTCACACAGGCAGGCAAACTCGCGCGATGTCATATTTCACTCAGGGAGCAGTTAGGAATGGGAGGGAGTTGCGAGTTGTAAAATTCTAAATATTGTAATTGATCTCAATGCGGTCTACAAATGGTATTTCCTAAATTTGTGGCTGGCATGCCCCCAATTAATCAAAACCCACATCATCTATATTCAAATTCACACCTCCCGCCAACGGACACCGACAATTTCCTGTCAGAAAAAAAATGCTTGTAACTGTAGTTATCTCACTTCATACACCCTATCAACATTTCGAATATTATGGCTTGAGTCATTTTTTTTTTCAGAGCACAGGTGGCCAGCATTATCAGGAGATGATTATGATAACCTAGTAATAAGAAATTGTTCTTTACTGACATTTGAACGCCACAACAGCAGCACTTCCAAAGATGATAAAAAATGATTATTATTAATCGGATCATTAGGATTATTATATTGTGTATTTTGTTTGTGGTTGTGGAACTTAGCCCCAGAGAGAAAAACATGGGTTCCCTATATCGTTATATAACTGTGACATTGTTGAATATGATTTCAAACATCCAATAGGCCTCTCTTAAATTGACGCCTCCCCAATCTCTATTTCAGTAAATAAACACCCCCTGACCACGATGTAAAAACTGGATTCATCTTGAGCTAGCATGATCGCCAGCCAAGTAACAATGGGAACTCCTCCAAAGAAAGCGCAAATATCCCAACGTGAAAATATAATAAGTAACAGAGAGCATGCTTGGAAATGGCCGCTGATAGCTGACTTTGCTGGAGAGATGGAGTGGACGGAGAGAAGTGAGGGAGAGAGAATGAGCAAGAGAGAGGAGTAGTGGAGGTCATTAGAAGAGTTATTGCTCAGATAGCGGAGCGCAGGAGCATTCCCAGGGCATTTAATTCTCCCTCTTCCTCCTGCTCTCTCAAGATTGATCGTCTTTGTGGTCTTTTGAATCTCCTCAACGGTTCCTATGGTAACATACCGGGGTAACACAATATTGGTGTATTGGGCTTATCTCTCCTCTGGCTGTCATCCAGACACATCTTACTCGTTTTTGTTCTCCTCCTATCTTTGTAATTGAATTGTAAATGCTCCATTGGGCCTTCCATAAACATATGCGGTCACTAAGTGGCTACAGGCCACCGCTTTAGTCTGCCATCCAGACGCAAGGCACAAAAAAAAAAAAGAAAATGCAGATTACTCCAGATTCTCATCCCTGATGTCGGAACGTAACTGATGGATTTTTGTGATTACAGCATGTAAGAATTGGGTGCAATTGTGTTATCGAGGGCACAATCTTTAGTATGTGTTTCATAAGCAAAGAAGGAGGCTAAATTCCATAATATCCCCGCCTGGGCCGGGTCGATAAATACGGCTTCGCTATCGGATAACTGGGCCATGATCAGGCCCATGTGTCCCCTGCGACGTTCTCGATCCGGCTCTAATCGCATTACCCCGACCATGTTGACGTTCCGCCAATGGGAAATCTCCACACTGTAACCCCACACCCATGAGGCATGGACCCGGGTGCGCTCTCTCCCACCAAAGTTTACACTATTAGAGCAGGGAAGGGGATTGAGTGGGACTTTGACAGACATGAGGGAAATAGATAGACAGCGAGTTGAAAAGTGAGAGACATTGATATTCCGAGACACCAAACACAGGGAAATTGGTATAATTCTCGTTTGAAAGGACTCAATTTGTGTGCTTGTTTGATATTTTGTGGTACCCGGAGGCCCCTGTTACAGACTTAACCCTCCCCTGTCAGAGAGAGCACGCTGCGGGTCCAGAGCTTGGGGGGCTAATGAAGGCTAATTGATTTTGTGGTGGGCCAGAGCAGCAGGGAGGCCTGTCTCTGGTGTAAATAGTTAATGAGCCAAAGGACTGCTGTGGACCCTTGGGGACTCGTATCGCGCACTAAGCTCTCTGTTGTGCTCTGCAGGCCAGAAGCTGTATCTCTGTATCAGTGTCCATATTTGCTCTCCTCTATCTGCCTTCCCCCCCCCCCCCCCCCCCCCCCACCCCCCCTGTCAGAAAGTCACCTGTGTTGAAGTGCAAAATTGACTTGTAATGTTTTCTGTCTTTGCTTTTCGTTCGTCTGGGAGGCCTTGCTGAGATTTGAAGTGTTTTATGAGTTTTGCTACAAGTGATTTTTGTGTGGAGCGCCGGGTGCTCGCGGTGCCGGGTGTGGTTGTGTTCTGTTCTGTTGTGGCCTAGGGAACAGAACGGTGCGTGTTGTGGGCGAGAGGTTGTGGGATAGTTGACCTTCGTAGTGTGAAGGAAATAGGGATGAGGCCAAGTTCCACAGCATGCCGGCCAATGCATTACATCACCGTTCAGAGACGGTTCTCCACAGGGCCTCGTGAGCACTCACTCGCACATGCACACATGGTCTGATCCGGCTCTGTTTCATCATCTCCGCATAATAACAAACACGCATGCACCTGGGCAGGCAGGTAAGGGTGCGCTGTGGGAAAATCCACACTTTTGTTTCTCCTTCGACGGCTTTATCGGGCTTGTTCCAAACATCGTAAGCGAGCGGCACATGAATTCAACATGACTCAGCTCATGTCAGTGCATCCATTCCCAAAGTCGTGCATCTTGTTTTTTTGTGTTCGTTTTCAAACGAGCTCTGTGTTTTTCTCCATCCCGCTTGCCTGCCAATTTCAGACAGCCAAATCTTTTTCATGTTTGAAAAATGTGTTATTTGTTAACTTCCAATTAAATATTGTTTACATTGTTACTAAGGACAATAAATGTGTCACCAAGCATCAGGCTAGGCGCTGAGTTTTGAATGAGGTAAACAATACTATATGTTGCTCCACTGCAGCGCTCTTGGCTATGGAGCTGGCACACGACGGGTTCGATGACATAATTCCTGGCATGTTCTAAATGTGCTCCTTTTTACTCTGCGGAGGGAGGGGGAAAAAACTTCTCCTCTTAAAGAGATATTTCATTTCACACAGGAGAACATATAATCAAAGGGTTTCCACCAGACCAAAGTAGCTTTTTACATTTCGTTTACACAGCCCTTAGTGTTAGGTCCTTAGATTAATAGGCATAAAGGTACAGTTTTACACTCATATTCAATACGAGGACATTTCAGAAATGTTCATAAAATGCCAAAATGCAGCATGTGTTTATACGTCACCATTAATACATTTTATACGCTTCTAATTGTTTTAGCGGGAAATCATTTGCTTTCAGTTGAACAATTGCAATGCTTGGCTGCATTTGTTAGCACCGCTGCGCAACACCTCAGGCTAAGCTTCCTGATGTAAGGCACAGCACGCGCGCACGCACACGCACAATAGAAGTGTAACTCCAGGTTTTGTAAGCAACATCTGTATGAATGGCAACATTGTCAGGGCGTGATGTCATCGGAGAGGGACGGTGAACTAAGAGCACAGCTGAATCTGCAGGCAGATCCGTAGTGAACGTGTTTGCCGCGCTGTATATGTTTGTGTCAGTGTGTGCGTACCACGTGCACAAAAATGACTCACCCTCATTCCTCTGGCCCTGGTAGTTATTGTCCTTGGAAGTCAAAACACATTTGTGGATTAGCTGGACTACAACAAAGCATTTGCATTATAGTCACTGATGCAGGGCTCTCTTATCGAAGCAGTTTTGTGCAGTTAACCTCAGGCCAACATGGAGCCATGACAGAGGACACACGCCAGCATGTACTGACATACCGTTACGGATGATGAATATGCAATTGTTTCTTTCACCATTGAGGTGAGTGGAGTCAGAGTGATTAGCTGTGAGTTTATCAGTGTTGGACACAGGCCAAGGAGGGGCCGGGGGTG